GATTATGAGGAGAATCAAAAAAAAAGACATTTTTAAAAAAAAAAAAAAAAAAAAAAACTACAAGCTGTGCCTCCAACAAAGGCTGCTGCATGGTGAGTATGCAGATAAAATGCTGTGCAAAGTGGGTTCTAGTTTCATGGTTTCTTTAAGGCCTTTATACAGACAACATATTGTACTTTCTGTGGTAACTCTTAATGATATGGATATGATACAAGAAGCAGTGCCAGGTTTGTAAATTAAGTGGGTTTTATGTTAGATTCTGGGATTTTGTGTTCATACTTAACACTAAGATGAAAAGCACTGATATCAAATGTAAACGTCTACATGAGTGAAACCCAGGTCAAGTATCAAATACTCACTGCCTGCAGGCCTGATTGGTCGCCTCTGGAATCCATTGTAGCTACTAATAATCTAAAAGAACAAGCTACAGACTTCTCATCTCTTCAATTAAACAAAGTGAGAAGCTGCCAGAGGGTCTCAGACTGGCAGGAACCTCAAAACCTTCATACTCATTGTACTGTACCAAGCACCATTTACTATCCCCAACATTTCACTGATGAAAAAACACGTAGTAGTGGAAGATTGTGGTGGAAATGGGGGCTTAACAGGGGTAGTTAAAGGTAACAGGATAAATACAACACAAAGACAGTGGGCGAAACCGAGCATAAATAAGGGCCCAGAGCTACATTTTGCCCTGGGGGCCCTCTAGCTGGTCAATCAGGCCCTGCTGGGGATCACAGTCAGTCATAAAAGGTGCATTGAGGGTACTCTTACTTTACAGCTGTCTCTTCAGGGACCTCCAGAGACAGAGTCAGAGTTCCTGACGTCAGCTCACACAGCTCAGGACTCACACAGTGCAGACCCTCCGTCACCTGAAACACACAACATATGTTTTCTGTATATATTTCAAACATAAACCCCCAGGGGTTTAAATTAAGTGTGGAAGTTATCTCACCCTGTCTGCATCCCACGGCACCATGAGCAGTCTCTGCCCAGACTTGGGTTGCCATGGCTGCAGGGTGGGAGGTGCCGGCATTGTGGTGGAGGGGACGGTGGTTGGCTGTGGCGGCTGGGTGGCGGCAACAGTGGTGGGGGTGACAGGGGT